GACGCGGACAGGAATCCGCACCGGCACGGATCGGCGCTGCGCAGGAGGCTCCTCTCGCGGGTCAGGGCTGAGCGACCATGGCGGACAAGGAGGCCGGCGGCAGCGACACCGGGCCCCGAGGTGAGCTCAGGGCGCGCGTCCTGGGGCTGCGGCTGCGGCTGTCAGTGTAGGGGAGGGATGAGGCACGCTCTGACCGGCGCCCCATAACCGCCTCGTGGACGATGGAAAAGTGGGTGCCCTGGACCCAACCTGCCCTCCCGGGAGGGAGAGGCCAGGGTCAGCGCCTAGGAGGGAAGAGGGCTCCGGGAACTGGAGGTGGCCCGCGGGTCACGTGCTCTGTTCCGGCCAGGGTGCGGACACTGCGACGAGGACTGCAGCCCCCGCTGGGGCACCCCTTCTGTCCCCGCCTCTGGGTGGCGCCTCCGGCGGGGCCGATTACGAGTTCGGATAAGAACCGCCCTTCTGTCCATCCCTGTGCACCGTGCTGGGGATGCCAGCGCTGGCCCGGTAAATGGCCGGCTGCTGGGTGGTCGGGTATCCCCAGAGGGTCATTTCCGTGACTCAGCGAGGCGAGGGTGGGATCCTAGGGGAGGTCGGAGATTCGGACCCGTCCCCTTACTCCAGCCTGCCGCGGCGGGACGCACGCGCCTGGAGTGGGAGCAGTAGCTCCCGCCTTAGGTTATCCCATCCCCTCCCCACCCATCTCCAAGGATTCCCTGAGCTTGGAAAGGGCGAAGCGGCAGGGGCTTGACAGTCCCCTCCTCGCCAGAGGTAGGGTGGGGACAGTGCGGAGGAAGGACATTTGTATTTTGGCCCAGGTGCCAGGCCTGCTCTCTTTGGGGAGTGATTCGGGCACAGATGGAGGGAGGGAGAGCCAGAGAGAACCGGAGAATGAGGCCGGAGGAAGAGGAGGAGCAGCTCTTTGAGCCCAGGGCAGTAAATCAACCTTCGCCCGCGGTGGGAACTGGCTGGCCAGGATTCCGGTCTTCCTGTGAGTCCCAAGTGGGGAAAGTTGGGCGCCAGAGACGCCGGGCGTCCCTGACCTGCAGGGCCTTGGCGGGAGCAATCCCCCAAGAGGAGCGCGGCCCAGCGGCTTTCCCTGGAGCTCCAGGCAAGCCGTCTTGGGAGGACGAAATTAAAATGCCCGGACGTAAGGGAAATCCAGCCAGAAAAGGCTCGCCCAGCTTTGCCTGGACCCCAAAGTCGGGGAAACTGAGGCCAGCAAGAGCACCAATAGTGCAGCCACCATTGAAATTGCGCTCCCGGTTGGTGGCCGTGGCCCCCGCCCTCTGCTGCACTGGAGATGCACCTACCCCCTCCCCAGCCCATTGTTCCTGCGGATCTGGGAGGTGCCTCCCCACACGCACTGCAGTGATGGGGGAGTGCGGGTGGGGGCTGGGGGATCCTGACTTGACTCACTCCTGGGAGGGGAGGTGCAGAGCCCAAGCAGTGCCCAAACACCAAGCACTCAGAATCTGCCCCTCTCCCTCGACCTTCCTCAGCGGTCAGGCTCCGGCAAGGGTCTGACAGCTGTCTTTGTCTGAACACCCCTCAGCAGCTGGATGGGCTCATTTTTCCTTCACCTTTTTTTCTTTAAATTGGAAAACAAAATTTAGGATGATCCTGAGGAGTGTCAGAATTGCTAAAGCTTGAGAGTTAGTGAGCTAGTTTCTTGTCTCTCAGGCTGAGATAAAGTGTGGGTGGTTGAATCAAACAAGGTTGGGCATAGGATTTGTCAAGTCAGAATTGCAAGCACAGTTATGCACCCACAGTTATGCACCACCGTTTTGTCTTATAGAATCATTCAGCACTCCTACTCTACACACACACACACACACACACACACACACACCCAACTGGTAGACATCCCCACCCAGGACGGGGAAACACATGCAGGGTGTGCTTGGTCACCTGCCACCACTCACCGGATTCCGTTAGAGTGTTTCTTTGCTTCTAGTGAGTTCAGGTGCACGGGTTTAGGACACAGCAACTGGAAGAGCAGGCTTCCCCTAGCAGCTCACTGTGCTTCTCTAGGGTGCCATCTCTTTATCTGCAAAATGGGAGATATTAATAGTATCTCATAGGAGCAGAGTCTGTCCCCTTTCACATCTATTTCTAAGGTTTCCTCATTTCATGTTGTGTGCTGGGCAATGAACATACATTATTTTATTTTTTAAAGCCTCTTAACTCTTGTTACCAGCATTTTCTTTACTGGTGGGATATTTAAACAAAGATTTAATGACCTGTCTGAGGTCCCACATCTAGAAGTGTTGATTGGGATGCAGACTATCTGATTCCAGGGCTGGATATGGTCAGTGCTTGCCATCCTATCTGGTACATGAAGTGGTTGTGTTTCAGGTTATTTCAAGGATGCTATTGGTGCAAAAGAATGAATCCCACAGGCATCAAACTATGTTGGGACTCTTGTACAGTGGGACCTCTGGTGGTGGAGGTGCTAGAAATGCTGGGGTGAGGAGCAAGTGGAGGTGTCCATGAAACAAAAATGGCAGTATGTTGGTAGTTGTTGAAGCTGGGTGCTGAGTAGATGATGGTTCCTTACTATTTACTTTGACATGTTTGCAAATTTCCTTAATAGAATATTTAAATTAGTTAATTTTCAAACTTGGAAGGACAGCCGTTAGTCTCTGGAGTGTAGACAGTGGAAGCTGAAGTGATCCTCAGTCCCACATCTTCCTCATGTCCTGAGATGTTGGCACATGGAGGCCCAGAAGAACAAGATGAATTGAGTGGGAAAAGTGGCACAGAGTGGATAGCTCCTCTGGTGATGGACTTAGGGCAGGCTGGAACAGTGGACAGCCATTCATTTTCTCTGGGAATGGGGGTTGAGGAAACCAGTGGTGGGAAGGCAGGTTCCCAGGGTCAGGGTGTGTCTTTCGGTGTTTTATTAGGCTTCACTGGTGGGTTTCTGTTTCTTACCAACTTGGCATTCAGTGAAAATAGACATTTTGGTCATTGACATATATCAAGGATTTTGTGTATGCTAAAACCTGGGAATACCGAGTTGTCTCATTTAGCCCTGACCACACTTGTTGAATGAATGACTCTCTGGGCAGGGGAGAGGAGGTCTGAGGAGAATGCTGACAGATTTAGGGATGCACAGTTGGAAAGGGGCTGGGGAAGAGTAGGGACTGGCCTCGGGCCCGGGTGGTCAAGCCAGCAGCTTCTCCTAGAACATGCATGGCACATCATTGGCCCTCAGGAAATTGTGATGAGTGTCTAATTAAGCGAGCCTGTGACTAATACAAAGTATTGCTGCCAAACTACAGGTAGAAGTGGAAAGGTGTTGTCTATGGCCCCCAAAGGAACCAAGAGAAGGTCAAGGTGATGCTCTGTGTTAGGGTTCTGGGGATGTGATCCATTTTTGTGCCTGCACCTGCCTCTGTAGCTATGTCCCCTGTACATGCCCTTCCCATACAGAGTCTTGTGTTTCCCAGGCCCTAGGATCTCCCTTGGCACAGACCCCTATGGTCTCCTTTGGCCCTCAGCGCATACAGTTCACCCTGTCGGGGACATCTCTCTTTGTCTATCAAACTCCTATTCATCTTCAGATCTCAGATCAGGCAATCACTTCTCAGGAAGTCTTCCTGGATCCATGTGTCCAGGTGAACTCTACCTGTGTAGTCCCAGAGCCTTTGGTACTTAGCTATTGGTGATGCCCTGGTGTTCATCGTGTGCCTGTGATGTGCCCATTTTTGCATGTCTCCCGTTGACTTTTCCACCAACCCTGTGAGGTTGGTTTCATCATTACCCCATTTTGCCACTGGGACAATTGAGGACTTAGAGAAATTTGGTGACTTGCCCAGACAGTAAATGCTGAAGTCAGGATACAAGTCAGTCATGGACCCCAAAAGCTTGTTTCCCTCAGTGCCTTTTCTCTTGACAAGGTAATTGAATGTGTCTTTCATTTCCATATTCTTAGCAAGGGCACATAGTAGGTACTCAATCGATGTCTTACTGTGTTGAATGACTGTCAATCAGTAAGAGGAGAGAACACAGCAGTAGGCAATGGCATCTATATCCTGCCCCCTCCACAGTGGCACTTCTAGAAACTTGGATGCGCAGAAGTGGGCCAGGCTGGAGGGGGGAGGGGGGACTCTGAAGAGATGTGGCTTTGATTCCAACAAGGCTTTGAGTGACGACTCAATCTTGTGGGGGCGAAATGCTCTCTTGTCTTATAAATAGGCCTCTTTGGTAAGGGAGAGAGCTCTTTTATTACTGCTGTGCATAATTAGAGTGGCAGAGGAATCAGGGGCTTTTAATGAATGAGTAGCATGTGGCAGGGAGGGAGCCCCTGCCCCCTGTGGGCACATAGGCCTGGGCTGGGGCTGGATGTCCCAGGAGAGAACAGGCTAGGCCCAGGAGATACCCAGAGAGGAGGAGGCAGAGCTCAGCAAGGAAACCGGCCCACAAAGGCCAGGCCTGCAGACCCTTGCTACATTCCTGGTATTGAGGATGACTCTGTCCTGTTCTCCCAGATGTTCTGTCACACGTATGGCCAGTAGAGGACCAGAGTGGCCTAGAGTGCCAAAACTCCAGCTAGACTTTCATTTCCTAGCCTGTGAATGGGGTGCACGAAACCTGCCCAGGTCTGCCCTGCCCAGCCAAGACAATAGATGAGAGGAAATGGCTTTGCCATCATCACCTGCCCATAGGAGGGATTGAGAGTGGCCTCCTTGCCTCTGCTGTGCCCACAGGACTGCTGTTCATTTGCATGGCTTGGTGGTGGGTCAAGCTGCTCTGCTCGCTGGGAGGCTTTAGGAGAAGGGCAGGCTGTGCTCTGAGTTTTCTCAGACTCGGGGCTAATCCCCATTCCTTTAGACCTACAGTATTTCACTCTCTGAAGCAAGCCCCTTGGAAGTGGTTTAGGTATCCCCGGCATGCCTCCCACACCTGCAGATCCCACAGTGGGGCAGAGGGTGGTGGAGTGATGGCAGCTGAACGGCCACTTAGGGGGCTGGGGGCATGCATGTTGGAGCTGTTCTCTTTGGCCAGAGGATGTCCCTTGCTGGGTTCAGTTACCTGAGTGGGTCTCCTTTTGGGATCACCTGGAGAACTTCTACAAGTCCTGATGCCCTGACTGTGATCCAGTGGACAGTCAATTTTACCAGTTAGGGAGTCCCACACATCCAGTGTCAACCATGGGCACAGCTCCTGAGGGTGGGGGCGGGGCAGGGAGTGGCAGACTGGTCATTTCCTGGCTCAGAGATGTCCTAGTCAGCAAAGCTTTCTTAAGCTTCAGTTCTGTACCTGTATCATATGTGTATATATTGTGAGTTGGGGTCTCACTATGTTGCTCAGGCTGGTTTTGAACTCCTGAGCTCAGTGATCCTCCTGCCTCAGCCTCCTGAGTAGCTGGGACTACAGGTGAGTATGGCCATACCTGACTCTTGTGTCATCTTATTTAATCTTCATCACTATACCGCAAAATAGGTGATTATTCACCAGGGGAAACTGAGGCTCAGAGAAGTTATGTTCATTCCCCAGGA